CCCCTAAAATCTGGGGTTTGTTATAAAGATTAAATATGGCTTCCTTCAGGAAATGGCTGTTGAGCTGAGATCAAATGAAATAGGGAGCCAAGAGTTTTGGGAAGAGGTAACAGCAAGGGAAAAGAACCTTTTGTGGAAAAGAGAATGGAAAGGTCCTATTATCTCAGCACCCATTTTTTAAATTACCCTTCTTTAGTTATATTTGTCATACACTTAATGGTATTCCTGGCCCATATGTTTTTCTTCCATAAATCATTTGCTTGTTCATGAGCTGTCACTACACTGCCTTGATTATAATAACTTTCCAGTAAGTGGCCTCTTCATTCTCTTTTTCAAAACTCTTCTGGTTATTATTGCTCATATATATGTATGTGTGTATATATATGTATTTCTGATGATCTCTGTGAATTAAGAAAAGTCTTTGCCTTCGATTACAAGTTCGTTTTCAGAAGAATTTATACATTTTCAATGTGAATTTGTCGGTATAGGGTGTTGGTAAACTGACTCTGTATTAGCAACAGCCCTGATTTATAATATGCTTGCTGAGTACGATGTGAAATATTTCCACCCTGAATGATTTCAGCTTCCAAAGCTTTAACACTGATTGGTAAATTATTGAATAACTTAACAGTCAGCTCTGAGCTAGTACCAGCCAGTTCCAGCACATCATTGATTCCTATCTAAGAACCTGACTGAGTTCTGTTAAGATTTATTTAATGTCTTAGAAAACTTTCAGTGTTCTTAACTGATTCTTTGCATTTCACGTTGCGTATTTTCAAATAAATATTTTTGTTAAAAATATTAAGGAGGATTTTTCGAGTTGTATTTTCTGACCAATTACATGATATACACATTATATATGTAAATTATTTTCTATATACTTATTTTGTTTCTGGTCATCATATAAATTTCTTATAATTTTTAGTATTTGAGGCTTTTGCATTTTCTAGGTAAACAATCATATCTTTATATTTATTTATTTATTTGAGATGAAGACTCGCACTGTTGCCCGGGCTGAAGTGCAACGGTGGGATCTCGGCTCATTGCAACCTCCACCTCCTGGGTTCAAGCAATTCTCCTACCTCAACCTTCCAAGTAGTTGGGATTACAGGTGGCCACCATCATGCCCCACTAATTTTTTGTATTTTTAGTGGAGACGAGGTTTCACTGTGTTGGCCAGGCTAGTCTCGAACTCCTGACCTCGTGTCCCGCCCCCCACTCCCGCCTCTGACTCCTAAAGTGCTGGGATTACAGGCATGAGCGACCGCACCTGGCCTCATCTTTACATTAAAAAAAAAAAAAAAATCTATTGCTTTTGTGAAAGTTGTCAAAATCAGAATGGAGTCGCAAATGTTGAAAAAATCCTAACACATACAGCTAGAAAAGGTCATGAAAAACAGAGTTGTCATGCTTGTGTACTTCATAACAAAAACTATCACAAAAGACTCCACAGAAACCTCAGCCTTCCACAAAGGCCATCGCAACCTCACACACAAAAAATACTTATACGAGGACATCTGCTCAACATCTGCCTGTCCAACCTCTGACTGGCATCATCCTTGCTAGTGATCTTTGTAACACAACAATTATGTAATCCTCTTTGTTTTTTTTTCCCCTTAAAATCCTTTGTCTTCCTTTATCTCTCTGAATATGCACATAATTTATGATGGCATATGTATTCCCATGACAGTGTTCTTTTCCAAATAAACATCTTTCTTTTAGAGAGCCACTCTCTGTTTGTTATTTATCTTGACACCTTCCAATAACCGTGTATCTTATTTCTGTTTCATGCATTAGTGCTTTGGTTAGAACTTTCAGAAGTTAACTAACAGTAGTAAAGGGTGAGGCTAGGGAGTCTTTGCATTAATAGAGATGAAGTCAGTTGTTATTTTATGACAGACAGTCTTTGCAATGTTAAGAAAGTATTGTTTTATTTCTAACTCTACAGGAGTTGTTATTATGGGGGAGCCTAAGAATATTTCTGAAATGAGGTCTGGGAATTCTCTGGCATATCACCATTTAATTGTTGTTTTCCTTGTTGAGAACAGGTTGCAAATATTAAATCTGGTATCCTCTTCCCTGAGCTATGGTTTCACAGCTTCATTTCATGCAGGTCTTACTCTAACGTCATCTTGCCAGAGAAGTCTTCCATGGCTATCTTATCTTAAGTAGCATAATTCAGGTATGTTTGAAAGGAGGTTATTATAAATAACAAAAGAGCTTTTCTCACCCCCACCACCCAGTAACAATGGGTTTTAGGAACCAAGAATGAAGACAAAATGTATTTCTTACTATATCACAATATTACATTAATAGCCATAGAAGAAATGATAATTCCCATAGAGAGAATACCAAAGTCAGCTTAATTCTTCTAATGTTGAAGTTCAGTAAAAATAATTCTCATTATCTATATAAAAACTATTTTCAAGTTAAACAAAAACATGAACATACTCCAAATTCATTTAACATTGAACAAAGTTAGCATGAGATTGAAACTAAAATCTGACCAAAGGCTAACTGTAGTTGTGAATACAGAGGAAAAAACATAATAAAAGAAATGCTAAGCCAGTTGTATATACAAAAAGCATAACACAAACAATTGGATATGGTTAATTCTATGAATGGAACAATATTATTATAATGTACCAAATCAAAAGGTCATAGGAGAAAAACCACATGAGTGTTTTAATGGATGATGAAAGTGATCATTTTAATTGATACTGATCAAATAAATACACATTTCTAGGAATAACAATAACTATTTCACGTCTTTCAGAATTAGAAATATTTTTCACATGAGGTCTAGACCACACTCTCATTTAATTTCAATGAGACAGAAATTTTAGAATACTAATTAATAGAGCCTGGTCAAAGGGTTTCACATGGCTTATTATTGCCTGAAACTGATTCAGAATTGGTCTAATTAA